CGTCTGAGCTCTGATTATAAATCGTAAAGCTTCAACTCATTAAAGTCTCACCGATGTCAGTCACAGTGTCCCGGCTTTGCGTTTGCGACAGCAGCCCTTCTTCGTTCTCAGAYTCCGAGTCCTGCCGGGACAACTTGGTGCTCTTCAGGCTCCCCGCCCGGCGGATAGAGGACAGGGAGCCGCCTTTCTTCACGCGGAAACTGCGGGCCCCTTTGATCTGAAGCAGCCGGGAGCCTCCGATGCGGATCTTCCTGACAGGTGCTGGGGAGCAGGGGAGTGGGGAGAGATTATCTACAATCAAAAGCGAACAGTAAGCGAAAGGGGAGCGGCGACAGAACCGGCGAGCCGAGCTGCGCGACGCCACGCCTCACCCTGAGCCTCCTGGGTCTTCTTGTCGTCGCAGGTGGTGTCGGACTTCAGAGTGTGGCTGCTGCTGTTGAGCGAGTCGTGCCCGTCTTCGTCGTCRAGGATGCCCGCAAAGCTGATCTTCCGCTCGTAGCGGTGTCGGCCGAGCTCTGGGTCCAGGCGCAGGCGGCAGCTGTCCAGGTCCTACAGCAGAGGTTTAACCAATTCAAAGTTGTTATATCCAGTACACTTAGTTAMTTTTACCTCTAAATACTTCTTCTTAAGTCATTTTAGTGTTTTTGACTCTGAGCAGATCTGACAACTGACCACGAGCGGTTCAGTGCGAGGGCGTGGCAAGCAAGGGAAAGTCTCTCGCAGGAAGGTGGTGATTTCCAACAACAGCTGGCAGGCAGCCATCTTAAGTGCAAAAGGGCAACCACATTTTGTAGGATTCACTGTATCTTTAGAGCAAAAAACAAAACAAAACAGAAGAAGAATAAAAGATTAATTGGTGCAACAAGGAAACTGTTTTCCGTCAGTGGTATCTATTTTTCGATAACCATTTAATTTTCTTTAAAGGGGCAATATTATGTGTTTCTCAGGTATATATTTAAATACTATACCATAATAAAGTATCTATGCCACCTTTAGCTGTTATTAAAATGCTGTTTTAATGTTTAAATAGAAAATAAACTTATCTTCTCATCACTTCCTCTTCTAAACGCCTTGAAATTGGCCTCTGTCTCTTTAAGAGCGCTCGCGGGGTGCCATGATACAGTTTACTTGGCATCTGAAAATACATTTCCTCAAAGGTATTTAGAATCTGAAAAGAGCTTCACTGAGTGAGAACTAATGTTAGGAGCTCAGCAGACAGTTAGGTTTCACTTTCACTTTCACTTTCACCAAGGAGCCTGTACGAGTCATTGGCGGTGTGTGTGTGTGTGTGTGTGTGTGTGTGTGTGTG